GAGCTGCAGGACGAGCTGCAGGACGAGCTGCAGGACGAGCTGCAGGAAGAGCTGCAGGAAGAGCTGCAGGATGAGCTGCAGCTGAGACAGAGCAGCTTCAGCGAGAACAGGAAACTCTCACATCCTGTTGGATCAGACCTGCTTTACATCCTTCCCATTCTGGGGAAGCTCATATAAAATGCCTACAAGGACGTGCCTAAAAGAAATGAGGAGCTGACCCCGCCCCCGTTTTACACTAAACTGTCAACAACCACAGTTTCTGGTACAAAAATTATTTACATACATTTCCTAAACTAATGCCTGCAGATGATTATAATAATGAAAAATTTAGAAGGACAAAAGGAACATCAGAAGGTTCAATTTAAGCAACTTTTAAAAATATTTGCAACAAAAGTACGTAAGTATGGGATACTTATCCCATAAGTATGGGATACTTATCCCATAAGTATGGGATTGGGGGCCCGTTGCTTCGAGCTGTTCAGTCCCTACAAGCGGTGCGAGAGTTTGGTTCGCATTGCCGGTAGTAAGTCGGACCCTTCAGGGTGGGAGCTGGACTCCGCCAGGGCTGATCATTGTCACAGATTCTGTTCAGAACTTTTATGGACAGAATTTCTCGGACAGAGTCCGGTTCGGTGGCCTCAGGATCCATCTCTGCTCTTTGCAGATGATGTGGTCCTGTTGGCGTCATCGTGCCGTGATCCTCAGCTCTCACTGGAGCGGTTCACAGCCGAGTGTGAAGCAGCTGGGATGAGAACCAGCACCTCCAGATCTGAGGCCATGGTCCTCAGTCAGAAAAGGGTGGACTGATCTCTTCAGGTCGAGGGCGAGGTTCTGCCTTCAAGTATCTCAGGGCTTTGTTCACGAGTGAGGGAAGAATCAATCAATCAACCTTTATTTATACAGGTAAATCCCATGAATGGATGGAATGGATGGAAGAATGGAGCATGAGATTGACAGATGGACTGTTGAAACAGTATTGTGGACTCTGTACCGGTCCATTGTGGTGAAGAGGGAGCTGAGATGTAAAGCAAAGCTCCGTTTATCGGCCAGTCTACGTTCCTCCCCTCACCTCTGGTAAGGATGCTCCCTGGGTGCTTTGGGCATGTCCAACTGGGAGGAGACCTCAAGGAAGGCCCAGGACACGCTAGAGACTATGTCTCTCTGTTGGCCTAGGAACACCTTGGAGTCCTCCCAGAAGAGCTGGAAGAGGCTGTGGAGAGAGATGTCTGCACCTCCCTGCTCAAGATGCTGCTCCGAGACCTGAGTCCAGAACAAGAGGAAGATGATGGATGGATGGATGGATGGATGGATGGACGGACGGACGGATGGACGGACGGACAGATGGATGGATGCTCGAAGCTAAAAATTGGTAAAGCTGTCACTAAAAGCTAAAATTAGAAAAACTGTTGCTAAAGGCTAAAATGAGCATAACTATCACTAAAAGATTGAATTAGCTAAAATTATACTAAAGCTAAAATTTGTATTAATAAATGTTTGAAACAAAAAAATGCTAAACTGAAGCTAAAAGCTAAAAGAAGCAAAACTAGTGCTGAAAGCTAAAATTGGAAAATGATGCTTGAAGCTAAAATTCAGCAAAAATGTTGTTAAAAGCTCAAATTAGCAAAAATGCTGGTGAAAAATAAAATGATCAAACTAATAGTGAAAGGTAAAATTAGCAAAATATTGCTAAAAGCTAAAATTTGAAATATGATGCTTGAAGCTAAAAACCAGTAAAGCTGTCTATAAAAGTTTGAATTAGCAAAATAGTTGCTAAAGGCTAAAATTTGCCAAACTATTCATAAAGAGTAAAATGAAAAAAACTGTTGCTAAAGGCTAAAATGAGCAAAACTGCCAATAAAAGTTAAAATGAGCTAAACTGATGCTAAAGCTAAAATTTGCATTAATAATGTTTGAAACAAAAAAAGCACATCTGCAAAACTGAAGGTAAAAACTAAAATCAGATCAATTGAAGTTAAAAAGCAAAACTCTGCTAAACTAATGCTTAAAGTTAAATTCAGCAAAACCATCCAAAAAAGCTAAAATCAGCTAAAGTAATGCCAAAAGCTAAAATCAGCAAAACTGACACTAAAAGCTAAAATCACTAAAAACTAAAACTAATAAAACAGCTAAAAAAGCCATTACCAACACTGTTGCTACAAATCAAAAACACCAGAACTGTAGTTAAAAGCTAAACCTATAGATCAGCAGAGACATTTCCAGACCCCTCAGCTACAAGTTGATGTGCGGCTGTTTAAAAGTTTGCCTGATCTAAATTCAACAAGTTTCAACCAGAGCGAGACAAGAAGCAGCAACAAGCAAAATAAGATTGCATAACGATTGTGATGAAAGCCGAGACGTCTCTCACGCTGCGGTCGTAAGAAACGAGTCGTTCTCAGCATTTATGGCACCGTTTGTTGATCGTCTCCATGGTAACCATACAGGAAGCATGAGGCATAAAGACAGACAGCTAGAGGGTTAGCACGAGATTTACTACATTAAAATAGAGTTTGAACCTTCAGCAAACCCATTTATTGATATTAATATTAATTTTAGGTCATTGATGCAGCAAAAGCTAAACATTTAAATAGTTGTTTTATTGTAACAGCAGATCAAAGTGTTGGCATCAAATATAAATGAGCAACCGGCGTTGTTTTTACAGCAGGATGATAACGTTCATGTTTCGAGTCATAAGGCTCAGAACATTTAGCTTCAACACAACCCGACCTCCTGAACTCTCATAACAGGCTAAATGCAGCGCACTGAAAATATTTTACTCATTTTACTTTTTCCATTTAAAAATTCATAGAGCTTTAAAAAATTATTTTGTTTGAAAACTGCTTCAGCAGACTTTTTGTTTTGTCTTCATGTGATCCTTTTAGCTTATACCTACCTAGCATTTTGCTACTTTTAGCTTTTAGCTACAGGTCTGCTACTTTTAGCTTTTAACTAGCATTATGCTACTTTTAGTTTTTAGCTACAGGACAGCTACTTTTAGCTTTTAACTAGCATTATGCTACTTTTCGTTTTTAGCTACAGGTCTGCTACTTTTAGCTTTTAACTAGCATTATGCTACTTTTCGTTTTTAGCTACAGGACTGCTACTTTTAGCTTTTAAATAGCCTTATGCTACTTTTAATTTTCAGCTAACAGGACTGCTACTTTTAGCTTTTAACTAGCATTATGCTACTTTTTGCTTTTAGCTAACAGGACTGCTACTTTTAGCTTTTAACTAGAATTATGCTACTTTTAGCTTTTAA